TAAACCCGAAACTGAGATTTTTTATTAATACTCAGTTGAATATTTTTAAGAATATCAACTACTAATACTAATGTCGCCCAGGCTCTACAAGTAGTAAATAACACATTCGCTCATAGCTTGCATCCACAAACGCAATTTACCATAAAAATTGTAGATATTAACACTTCAGCTGACAGCCTTCAGCGGCTTATTATAATAATTATTAGCAATAAGTCAGCGATGTTTATGTTGATATGTTTATTACTTAAATATTACATATTCCATCTCAAATAATTTGTTATGCGCACGAGTGAGTGCGTGTGTGTCTGTGCCTTTCCTTTGTGCCACATTTGCATACCAAACAGTGAATCTGGCAGCCACCCACCCACCTGCCACGGCGTGCGCTCGCGGGCAACAGCAGCAGCAAAATTTATTAATGTTGACGCAGATGCATGAGAAAGCCGCGATACAGATGTAGGTACATAAGATATTTGTGCATACAAGTATATAATTTTTGTTCTTACTTATGTACATTAGACCGTACCTCCCTATAAGCAAACAAAAAAAGTTCGCCGTACAACTTCGAAACTAAATTATTTAAACAAATTTCTTTGTCGAATCTAGGGGTCCGCTTTTTAAATTTGTCGGTGAGACCTTTATTCGGACAGATTTATTTATTTTTTTTTAAATAGTTCTGCTGAAAATCGAAATACTTTCTTAGCAAAAGTTTAATGATTTTTGACGAGCATTAATTTACTGACATTAGGGGGCACGTTAGGGTGATAAAACCTAAGATCTGGTGGGTAAGTAGGTAATAGAATAGGATACTTGAGGTCAATGAACTTTGGAACAAAACAAATTTTCTCCTCTACACAAGAACATCGATATGTCATACTTTAAGATCCGACTGTAAATGCCGAAGATATTCGGCCAAATTTTTATTTTCGAAATTGCCTCGAAAAAATAATTTAGTTTCGAAGGTGTGTGGTGAACTTTTTTTTCTGGTACGGTTTAATGTACACATGTATGTATAAACGTAGTCCACAAGTGCTTGTAAATATGTTATACTTGCATGTTACGGTATGCAAATATATTGGCTCCAAACGCGTACATCAGTGTAGCTGTATTTTGGCGAATTTGAGTTTAAGTTGTAGAAACAAACGTATAATCTATGTATGTACATTAGGGTGTTTTTTTTTTAGTTTGAGATCAAAAAATAGTTAGTTCAAAGCGCTCAAAGTTTTCCATGTAGTTTAAATCTTAAAAAAAAGCTTTGATCGCTTTGAACGTCCTCTAAATATTTTTTGTT